TTAACATACCCCGAGGCTGAAGAAGGTACATTGAGAGCATCATTGGAATGCGTCATCGATAAAATCTTGATGACAAGCTGAGAAAATAAAAATTGTATTAAAAAAATTCATACCAACTTTTCCGAGGTCACCTTAATCCTAGATAATAAAGTTAATGTCACCATTCGATTTGGCCATTGGCCAGGTTAGTCGTTGCTTAGGAAGGCGCCTTTCGCACGAGCTTCACGAATGACAATTGGCGGTGTACAGAAATGACCCTCGTGGATTCTCAGAATCTGAACATTCTTTATTTCCTCCTGTCAATGATGCTAATGCTCTCAGGGTTCCCGGGGTTCGTTTTAAGTCATGCAGTCACTCTATCGAGTGATAGTCTGTGCCTAACGGTATCGGTATTTCCATAGACTCTCAGCTGATCCTTCTCCTTCGAGAGATGGAGAGAGAGAGAGAGAGAGAGAGATATGAGAGTTAACGTGCAGCTCAACCAACTATTTCAACCCCGAAGCCATAACCATTAGGTTCCATTAAATACCTCCAATCCTTGCGGCGATATGAGAGTTAACGTGCAGCTCAACCAATAGACTCTCAGCTGATCCTTCTCCTTCGAGAGATGGAGAGAGAGAGAGAGAGAGAGAGATATGAGAGTTAACGTGCAGCTCAACCAACTATTTCAACCCCGAAGCCATAACCATTAGGTTCCATTAAATACCTCCAATCCTTGCGGCACACGCATCGACTACCGTAGTTAGACAGTTCGCCGGTAGCGGCGTGGATCGACATTCCACCGTGAACATAGCCATACCCTGAGTACGTACCAATGTATGTCTGTCTATCCTAACGTCCGTCTATTCATACCTACATATCTCCAGATAGCATGCATAGGTACCTGGACCATCTCCAGGAAGCTCTGCTATACGGGTAAATAAGATCGTTTGGAGAATTCTAAAAAGAAATTGTATTTTTATATTGCTTTAACCATCGAGTATACCGAGAGAGGTTAGAATCGTAAAAGTAAAGCTGGCACTCATCGAGAATCTCTTACGTGACGTTCTTTTCTAAATTCACCATTTATATTCATACTGGTATTTTTAATTCTTGTAAAAAAAAAGGAAAACATCAGTCTTGTACTTTTTGAGTTTAGTGCCATCATCTGTCACGTATGAGGCTCCCTGCAAGTCCAACTATATACCGTGTATGCAGTCAGTCAACTCAACTTGTGCAGTGCACGTAGGTGGGTGCGTTTTTATTTGAACGTGTGTACTTTCATTAGATCGGTATATGCGGCAATTTCCATGCAGTCGTACGTCTCTGCCGAAATCAAGGTCAGGACGTTGAAAGGTCGGTGCCACGCAAGTGGAACCAACGTGGAATCGACATTCACGTGACGTCCTTATTCAATCTTTCAAGTGTCTTCGAATTGGTTTCTGCGTATTTGAATGCCTGATGCGGATTTTTCTGGAGGAAAAAAATCTTCGACGCCTCTCCAAAGAGGGGATGAGGTACGGAATGGAAACAGGATCGACAAGGGTAGACGGGGCGAAGAATCCAACGAGCAATAAAAATACGGAGAATTTTATTGCTTGAGAAGTTTTCTGACTCCCGTGGGGCATCTTCGTACCATCCTGGGTCTTCTGCAAGTCAGGTCACTGACTATATGTATGTACGTGCCTGTTCACGGAAACGTTTTATGACCCATCCCCACATGGAATTGTAGTACGTACGTATGCAGACGGTTGCTGTGAGCCACTCTGTTCTGTTTTTATTGTTTCAACCCCAAATTTTCTGTACAATGTATCCACTTTGTTTCTTTCTTGTAGAGATAAAAGGACTCTTCTGATTCACGTTGGCAACCAGGGAACCTCCAGCTCTTTTTTTCTCTAGGTAGACGCGCTTTCACGCAACTTCAGCAGACCTTGACTCCGTGTGTCGCGCCGCTGGGAAGTTTATGGGCCTTCGCTTCTTGGGGCCCTTCAAAGGGCGTAACGTGACACTGATTACTATTTCGTGAACTAAACGTGCGACCGTTAGGTACCATTTTACATACCGTGAAGAAATATAGAAGGTTATTTTATTTTGGTGTAATGGTAGGAGAGCGTCAGTGAAAAACGAAATTTATTGTAATTTTATATTGGAGTGATGAAACATTGGATTATAGTTTGAAGTTACTGACCTCTCTTAGCTGTAATTGAATTTTTTTTTGCTTCGTGTCTTAACTAGATGGACATACAAGAGTGCCAACATTACTGGCAAACAGTCAAGACAAGCCGGACGATGTTGGTTTAAAACCGAGGTGACTAAACCTTATCCGGAAGAGAATTTTGCAGGTCTACCAACAGACTGTTTGACTTAGGGTCTTGATGTTTCTCTTACTGATCAGGATTCATGGGTTCGTGTTACATTGTTGGGAATACTGAGTATAACATGACGGTAACGTTTTAACATTTTAATCTTGTGGCGTCACGTGAACTTCAGCTGTGCTTCGCAGAAGACGTGCAGAGGGTCTCAGTGACTCAAGAAGGAAGTACAAGAAGAAGAAGAAGAAGGATCGCGCGTTTCGTGTCTTGGTCAATGATACCTCTTGGGTGGAAGTCCAGGCGGGTCCTTCAGGTTTCATCTTGAAGCAGTAACACAAGAACGCCATTATCTCAGCACTTGGGTCGAGGAACCACGTCTTCCTAGTGTATCTATCTAGTGAGAATGGCGTAACAGTCCACGTATCACGTATACCAGCTATACGGTATCTCTATAATACATTATACATATAGAATTTCAAATTTGATATTCCTTAATTAATACAGTTTTAATAGTAAATCAAAATCCTGAGAATTTTACCCAATCAAACTGTCATCCACAGCATATTTTACATAATGAAATTCTCTGGATCTAATCGACTCTTTCTAGTTGATTAAATTCAATTCTATCATATCATTCGCCTAACTTTACGAGTATAGGCTACTGAACTGTTAATGACATCGTTTTGTTACCGTTGTCTCTCACTAACAGCCGGAACGTGTTCATCGGCCAGTGGCTGAGACGAGCTTGTTCGGATAACAGCATCTTATTTTTTCCTGGATCTCTATTCAATTATAATGGTCTTTTTTTATGATGACAATTCGTCGCCATTTTTTTTCGCTTACTCGCTAATATATTTTTCAGCGCATTTCTTATTGGGACTCAGGCTAATCAAATTGCTAGGGGAGCAAGTCGTTAATTTTATCTCCGTAATCATTGCTGCTGATAAGGACATTTTCGAGATCTACTATCACATGTGAAGACACTGAAGATTTGGGAAAGTTTCGATGACGCGTGCTTCAGGTGTCTTTTTCTCGAATAATCGGATCTTCTGGCGTGACAGCGTGAATGCCCTGAACGGCTGGAACAGCATGAACGGACCCAACGGGCATCGACCATCGGGGGCCCAGTCGTGATGACGACGCACTACGTGCCCTTCTTCCTCGCTGATGGCTTTTTTTTACAATCGTTGGATTCCTTAGCGGCATTCGCATCGCTCGAGTCGACCTTTAAGAAGACCCGAGGATGAACCTTGTTAAGAAAAGGGAAATCGTAAGTATATGACACTTATACATATATATATAAAAGTCAACACCGAATTTGAATTTTTGCCAACCTTGACGTAGGCACTGTATTAAATGACGATAATGGTCACTTAAGAAATCATCATCATCATTTGCAGATAGTATAATTGTCCCCTGATCATCACCGAGGCTGTTTACACAAAAAGAATAGATTTCCATTCGGAGCTCTCAAGGCCAAAGTCACTTTCGCCCTGGTCCGAGGTCTCTCTGTTAATTATGATTTCTGCATAATTGTTAATTAAGATCCTGATTGACGCTCTTTGTGTAGCAGTCCATTGCTAGAATTTAGCCTCGTACAATACTAAACATTACGTATTACACTGTTAGAATATTACAACCTTAAGGCCCAGGGCCAATTACGTTTGTCTGTACATTTACTCGCGTTACCTACTTTTACGTTTATACATTCATTTCATATAAGTTGCTTAACGCCAATAATGCACAATCGCACAAATAATAATCGTATATATCGATAAGAATTAACGAGGGTGTATCGATCGATCGATCGACGCACATTCGTTCGATCGCCCAAGATTTCCAGACTCGCGTAACGGCTCTGTCGCTGCGTCAGAGTCGCGTTTCTTTGTTCGACATACAAGAGAAGGAGGAAAAAAAAGAAAAGAAAGGAAAAGGGACAAAAGTCGACATCGACGGTGCCATTTATCATTGACGGAAGCGTGCGAACCGTGAAAAGGCGAATTATTATTCATCGGCCATCGACGGCGCATGCGCAAAGCATCTCGCAGTACAGAATGACTCTGGCCTGTCCCTTTAGATAGTACGTGAATCAAAAAGTAAAATATATATTATACTGAGTTCACTTTGAATACACTGTCTGATTGTGAACAGCCGTTTCTACTACTACTACACTACCACTACTACTACTAATATTTCTGTTATCATTCGTCTGTTATCTCTTAGATTCGACCGCTCCAAGTGAATCCCTGCCAAAGAAGTATTTCCAGGATTTGGATATCCTTAAAAGAAAGCCGACGTCTTTAAAAGACCGCAGACTGTGCTACTGTCCTGCTAGTATAGATACAGTAGCGCCGTAGAAGCAGGAGTCGTTAAAAGTGCATAAATCACAGTGGCATTATTTTGCCGAAAGACTCAAGAAGAAGAAACCAAGTCTGGTTCGCATTATAATTCTTCTCTGAATATCGTCGGCGTCCCTGGCATCCGGTAGAAGAAGAAGATAACACCGTGAAGAAGCGGATGAGTCCTGCACAGATTTAGGAAAGAGGAGCTGGGCACGACCGAGATACAAAAAGGACGTAGGGATCGGATCTCCCAGGAGAACAAGAAGGGAGAAATCACTCTAGTGCAATTCGTTAACCCGAAAACTTCCGAGAAGAAGATTCAGGGATAAATAAGAATGGACCAAGATCATGAGTAAAAGATACGAACAAGGCTCAGTATAATGTATATATGTATATACGTGGATAATAAAGAAAATCGAATGGCATATAAAGGATTGACAAAGTTAAGAATATGCAGAAGGAAAAGAAGATAAAGACGGAGAAAAATAAAAAATCCAAGATGAAGATTCAGTCTGACGTAAACACGCGATAGCAATTAACACGAAGTCCAGACGCGTGGAGGCCACCTAGGGATTCTTCTTCTCTCAGGAACCGACGACGACGTCCTTGCCGGAGGCTACTAGATGTATTTATAGGCGATGATACCCTAGGATCCTTTTCTTGGGACCCATCGTGAATCATCGGCCGACGTTCACAACGATCCCGAAGGAAATATATCATTGGATACCTGTAAACACATTAGATAGGAATGGTCTGAAGCTTTTGCATAAATAATTAAAAAGAAAAGACCAAATCAATTAAATTGCGCAGAGATTCAAAGCTATGACATCACTTCCAGCAGCCAATTGGTAAAATTATTTAAAGGAAAAAAAAAGAATACTAAACAAAACGCCATTGTTCCCAGTCAACGAGATTCCATTAAATTGAACAATGACTCAGAAAGGATCCATAGAGTATGGAAAACCATATATATTTATGACGTCGCTGACGATACACCACGATTTTATATCTACGGTGATCCTAAGAATGACTCAATATTTTATTAACGATTAATAACAGTCATGTCCCACCGTTTGGGAACAATGGCATCTTCTCGATGCGGACAAAGCCTATTTTTCTTTATAATCAAAAAAGATTCAACGAACCACGTCTCGTAACCAGTCACGATATTATTTGTCATGGACAGTACATGCAATAATGATAATAACACTGTCAATAATAACGCACCCGTTATCAAATGCATTACAGGAACGCACCGTGGCGTAGATGCACACATGATTTTCTGATTTATGAGAATCGACGTTCAGCTGCTGATTTTATGGGACGTCATCAATCATGGGAGGATGAAATGACATTTCCGGTGATCTTCCTGTCATCATGAATGACAATCTTCACCCTGCGCCTCCATACTCATCCAGAATACACATAGTCATCCAGAAGCGTGTAACAACGCTAAGACGCTTTCATATTATTCAAATTTCCCGCCGCTGTCAACAACCCTATAAACCGATATACCCATTAATATATATATATATATATATAATTTATTGTGAAATTATCATTGATATTAAATCATAGAAAAAAAATACATGATTTTTACCCAAGTCGCATTGCACTCGAGTGACGTCACGACGGGTCATCGTCATCGCCTTGAGTCTCATGGTTCATACGTTGTATGTAACAGGCAATATACGGCGTATGGATTTTTCACAGCAGAAATACTGAGTGACATCACAAACCGGTCACAAGCGTATCCCATTGGCTTCCACGAAGTTCAACGGGATTCGACCCGCGATATCGATCTGGCACAGGTGTGTTTTAGCATCTCCTGTTGTACGATGACGTGTTAAAAAAAAAGGAAAAAAAAATTATTAGATCCAATGATTACACCTATGTACCTCGACACAGCATAGGCACAATGGGGACTCTTGTTCTTTGATGGGGAAACGTGAAAACGTGATTCGCGTGGGTAAGGAAGGAAATCATGCAATTACGTAGGTCGATAAATCAACCATAACAAATCAATTGAGAATTGTGTTCTCCGCTGTACTCCGTTGCAGTTCTCAATAGTAAGATACTCCACCGTGGTTGGATGTATTTACTCGAGGCTCTACATACGTGAAATAGCATCGCGCCATAAACACTTATAATTATTGGGTCCGTTAGCATAACCAGTCCCAGGGAAGACCTTACGTCGTCTTATGCAGGTCCTTATGCTGTGGCTGCTAACATAAGTAAGAATTACGTACAGCGCGACGCGCGGCAACTGTGCTGAACCTCTACGCCACTTAAGTTTATGCTACCTGAAGATCGTGCGATTGTTTAAATACACGGACTTGCGTGGCTACCTTCTGACTCATAGTTACCCATATCTATGTATGTAATGTATAAAGATATTCAGTACACCGATACATGCCTGTGATAATGCAGAACCGCATGTAAAATGGAGCAATTTCGAAATGATCAAGCTATTAGAAATTGATTGGGTATAATATCATTGTGAAGAATTGAATTAAATTATATTTCGAATGTTTGTTTATCCGTTACCATGGTAACGTTGCTGGCAATGAATTAATTTATGCGTACGTCCTTGTCTTTGTCTTATCTCAATCCCATATGATAATTTTGTCACGGACAATGGTATCCATCGATCTATTACTATACAAGATGGTGATTGAATAATTTTTATTAAATTCTGAACAAAGATGATGTGAGGGTTAGAGAACTTTTGATGGGATTTAAAAGAAATTTTGATCAAATATTAATGCTCTGTCTTTGTACAGAAAATTAAATAATTGACTTAACTGTTATTCATGTAAATGCAATTTTGACTTGAAACGAATAAAAAATTTATCACCTCGTTTCTGGGAATATTCAGTCACGGCTGATTTAAGATGTAATTTCGTTAATAATCGTTGCAGGACCGTCGACGTGAGGACGAGCACGTGTGCCTGGGAGCCATTACCCAGGATACGGGATATATTCCCACTTGCATCCATCGTTCCTCTAGAATATTGATGAGATGAATTTTTTTCGGCCCTTTGGACAAGTACTATATATATATACAGATTTTATATAGCACTATGTATATATATCAGCTACTCACTATAAAAGGCAAGATGAAAGGCACTATATAAAATGTATTACAGTACAAGCTGGAATAAAGGTGATTTTATATAAAGGATCAAACGAGCCCAAGTACTTGCTCAATGATGGATGAAGTAACTATGTAAATTTAAAAATGAAATTATAGAAAAGTTGGCTCTGATTTTTTTTTTAAATTGTCCTTTCTCTAGATGAATTCACGTCTCCCTGAATATTTGAACTATTCGTGATCCACGATTGTGGGTTTACCAACCTAAGAATAAATTGAGACGGCTTCCTTCTAGAGCTAGTTAACTAGTTTCTAGTTAACAAGTGGAACAATCAAGTAGCACGTCCAGTTATAGTCAGGTTGACGTGGTAATAACAGCGTTTATTTCAAATCGAGGAAGACCTGCGCACGCATTTCTCCTTCGCACATTGGTCTGAACGTAGCAGCAGGTGAGGACAGGAGAGCAGTTGAAAATAATAACGTTGTATGGTGCGACTGGGGCGGTGAAGGAAGAAGGGAGACCTGGTGGACCGTACGGAATTTGCAATTCATTGAGAAATTTTGACAGGTTTATTGCTCCGCGTATATCACTGTACCAATTTCGATTATAACGGTCGACCTCGCGAATTCCGGTGTGGATCTGACTTTAACTATAAAATACTTCCAGTGCCTGGATTAAAAGTTTTAGTATAACCTGTCGAATTTTAACTGCCGATATGGGGTAAGAAATCTTTGGGATAATTTACCTTTTAATATTATGCGTCCCAATTAAAAACCGTTTGCTAGTTCAGTCTGCGATGACTTTTGAGGTTATCTTAACAAGTGTCCGTCGTCGAAGTAGCTAATTTATGTTCTGATTAATTAGCCAGTCTGAGCGATTAGTTAGTGAGCTATTTTTCGGTAGTAGGTCAGTATTAATTTTTAGAATCAGTCGAGAAATATTGATCCGCGTTTGTACCACTGGACAATTGGTATGTTCGAAATTATCTAATGGCGAGTACACATGTATACTCAGGTATGGCTACCATTTGTAGAACGGTAAAATTATTCTCTCACGACTTGCCTACTAATAATTTCTAATTACGACAGCAAATTACGAATACAATGACTCCGTAATCGACCACCCTACACAAGGATACGTCCCGACACCAACCTAACCTAACCTCCTTGAGATTCCTCACACAATTTTTTTTCCCCACAAGAAACAATGGAAATTTGTATCTTGATTATCTGTATATTAACGTTTTTCTTTTTATCGCTCTTCGGTTGGCAACACTCTGCTCAGAATTATATGAATATTTGTTTTAGAAGTTTTGCCACTTTCATTCATGAAGAATGAATTCTTCATGAAGATTTATCATTGCCTTGCCATTGAGACGTACTAATTGCGTACACTTCATACATCCTCGCACGATAAGACTCCTCGAGACAACGGGAATAATTATTCGCGAATCTTCTCGTGATAACCTTCCGATAGATTTGCTCGATTCCCACGACCGTTGAAGATATATCGGCCAATCAGACGCCGGGACGCTTCGGCCTACACTGGATATTTAATTGGTGCAGACTAAGCATCAGGGGACAATGGGCTCTTTGAAAAATTTCTAGAAGACCCATATGGACTCATCGCTTCATGTCTTCAAAGAAAATATTTAATTTTCAAGTCGCCCAGACTGATCTATTCATATGTGTATAATTACCGCCATATGTTTTTCAACGTATGAACGTACGTATGTACACGTGAGCACGTGGTTGAAGGGTCATAGGAGGGTGGCAAACTGGTTCCAGGATTCGATGATTCCTGCTTCCTAGTAAATTCATCAATTTCTTTGAACGCCATTAATCCTCAATAAGAGCATTTCCACACTGGGAGTCTGGAAAGTTCTAGAACCATTTTTCAAAACGCACCGCCCTAACCTCCCCATACAACGTGTCCCCATAGACCTAGGTTACACAGGGTGGACACGCACGCATTAGTTCCCGAGTGTAGTCGGAGCGTGCGATTGTGGCTCTTATTAGTCAACGTCCGGTAGAAAGTGCCAATCGGGTCCAGATGGGTCCAGGAGCTTTCCCGTGAGAGGATCTATTAATGACGTCAGTCCCTCGAGAAATGCCTTCCATTGTATTTTCCTGGCCCTTGCAGGGGTCGGTCGTTATTAGCCAAATAAAAATTAGGTCATTAAACGAAGTTACTACGTGCAGGATATTTTACAGCATCCCTAACGGGTCCAGATGAGACAAGTTTATTTTGAATAATGAACACCAAAATACTTACATTAAGAAATTCCATAAGCCATATATACGAGTATATACCTTCTATCAAGCAATAGCATATGTTGCATATGTACAAGGAATTTACTTATCTCTATATATTCTCATATCTAGGTACATATGTAACTATCTGATTCAAAAGACAATCTTTCGTGTAATCTGGTAAACACTCTCTTTAGATACGATGTACTAGTTAGATCACGTTTAGACTGGTCTAGCGGTTTTTTTATTTACCTTTAATTGCTTTTTTTTCTTAAATTATTTTCATATATGTATATTACGTACTAGCTCATACGACAACGTGTTGCTTGCTTGTGTATATATATATATATATATATATATATACTAGCAAGTGGCGGTGTCTGTTGTGCCAGCTCACACCATTATTTTCTTGAAACTAGGTAAACGGATTTGGATCATTGGAACTGGAACGAAATCCGTTTTATTCACTGTAATTTGATTATAAGAATTTTTTGAATTTATTTAGATATAAATTAGGTATCAGGTATCAGGTAAGTATGTAGTTAGTATCTAGCAGATGAACTTTTACCCTCGTGATGAAACTGATGAACCCCGTGCGAAGATATAGAAGAAGGAGCTCGTGACCCAGGATACAATGTAACGGTGAATGGATCCTTGAAGAAGGTACCGGCCAGGTATATACACCGAATAAGACTAAAGTTCATCAGGGCCTGATATAAAATTAAAAAATAATAATTACAGAAGTGAACGACCGTCAGGTTAATATTGGATATTTGAATTATCTACAGGTAATACCTAAAAAAAGAAGATCGTCCATGTCTAAAGTGAACTTCCTGTCGAAACTGAAAGCCCAATAAATTCAAGAGGCGAGTCCCAATCGTCCGAGTGACTGGCACCCTGAGCTTTTTATCGGTCCCAGAAGGATCGCCCTGGCAATCTTGTCTAATTGTGAGGGAGACACAGTGGCGCGCGACAGATGCTGTGAAGAGGCGCCTCGAAGTTTCTTGGAAAGGATGCGAAAGGGGTTCATCGTCGTCCTGGACAGTCGAGTGAGTTCGATATTTATAGTGGCAGGAGCTGGCACTGGTAAAAAACCGCGGCCGATTCGCAATCCTGAAATAACAGGTTACGGCGCAAGAAGTCCCAGGAGAAGAGGTCGTGATGGTTGGTTGGTAAAAGGTTGGTACATTGGTTGGTCGGTAGGTAGGTACAGGTAGGTGAAGTTGGTAAGGTTAGGTTAGCTGTCGTTGTCGAGTGGACGAGCCGCGAAGAAGCAGGTTCTATTTATACCACATCAGGAGCGCATCAAAGGGGCCTTGCGACGTACGTAGGACCCAGGAGCTTAGGGCCTCAAATCGTTATATAAATCGTTGGTATTCGGTCGGCGTTACTGCGTGCTGCTACCGTGATGCTTTGCTGCCGCCATTTACGCTCCAACCAGGAGCACCGGGGCCCCAATCTCTTCCTGGGGATACGAAAAGGGCCCGTATCACTTTTTACTCGCCTTTTTTCCCTCGATTAATGGACCCGGGGCAAATGAGTTCGCGAGACCAAGGTGTTCCCCTGATCTTCGGGTCGTTGGACCCTGTTAAACGCAAAACCCTTTTTCATTGGGAATTATAAAGTTTGACACTTTTTGGGGCCTTATCCAGACCACGTATAATGGGTTGTATTTCAGTATCTCCAAGGTCTGTCGGGAAGGGCCCAACATTTTTCTAGACAATTTATAGGGTCGGTATACAGTTTATTGTATATTGTATAAATCTAGGAGGATCTGTGGAATTTAGTGGTAACTATAAAGATCGTGATACAGTTACTACATTGTTGGCATTAGGGGACTTACCTATCGTCGGACCCAAAGAAGTTAACACCCAACAGCACTAAGACGAACACGTGTTATCCGTAATGACGCAATGAGTGCGAGAAGTCCCGCGTAGCAATGTCACGTTCGCGCGAACACAAAATGCTGTCAATTAGCCGTGACGGATCAGGAGCGTCGATATTGTGGGCCCTAGGGCCCTGACTTAAGACTCCATTACTTATACACAGTAGCTATATACATATATAACAAACAGGAACGATAATTCATTTTCATACGTAAGAATTATAACCAGACTTCTGGCTCAATCCTCTTTTCTGCATAAGTCCCAAAATTATACTAAGGGACTCATGAGACAGTCTCACCTACCAGGTATAATCTTATGACAGAAATACAGGAGCTCTTTAAACAATTTAACCAGATTAGATATGCAAATCCAATAAATTTGAATCTGATTTAAATAATTACTAAAATTATAAACCACCCATATCTTCGTGTATTCTAATATCTCGTGAACTTACTTATCCCCAGGTATCTTTTGAGATGCTGTGAAACAAGAAGAATCTTCAAGCAAGTCGAATTCCCCATCCGACTCGGTTCTAGAAGAAGAAGAAAACTTAGTACCGTGTTGCATCACGCTTGGGAGTTAATCGGGCCTTTATAAACGCGGCAGCAGGGACTGTTGGTAATTACCTTCGATTTCTGACACGAGATATGTTAATGGCTCAGAGATTTTTGACGTGGATCTTCATGAAGGATCTCTGGAATAATGTACCACGCAGCATCCCTCTCTCTCTCTCTCTCTCTCTCTAGTATATATATATGTATAGTCTACGTAGTCCGATGCCCCTGACTGTTCTAGGCCTGAGCCCCTGAGCGCGAGTAATTTATAAATTCCAAAAGAGTAGCGCGTGTGCTCGCAAGATAATAAGGCCCATCTCTCCTCCATTGATGGGTCTTGCGAAAGAGGCCCACTCCCTTTGTTTACAGTTAATATCTTCAAGATAGAAAAAACCAAAAGATTCACCTGCCCCAATGCTTCGGATTCGAGCAGATGAAGGGGGCATGTGAAGATTTTACTAAATTGGGCCTTACGTCTATATATACTAGAGTATCCTTTTATTATAAGCACTATTCGTATACGTATATCCTATATCCACATAAGTTATCCTTTAGCTATCTTCTTCTTGTGTTACTACTCCATACCAGTACCGAGACCGTTAATGCTCTGGATGGGCCATTGTCAGCACGCTTGGAATGTCATTATGTCCAGCTGAAATTATTATCCTAACGGATGTGTGAGCCGCCCAAAGAATGCATAAAAATGGGTAAAAGCATCCGCACGCGTTGCCCATATTAATACGGTGGACCCCACGGGTACGTACAGTGCGTTACAAAAGTCATAGAATCCTTAACTCAGCAATGGCATACTGCTTCTGACCAATATCAACAGTCCTGATACTTTCCCCTTCTTTTCCAGACACTTTCGTCCATAGCCACTCATCGCACGTAATTTCCTCGGGCAACGGAATCTCGAGGGCAGGAAGTTCGACACGTGGACGAAAGACGGATGGGAGGTTGAAAAAAAAAATTGGATCTGTAAGAAAGGTAAAATTGGGTAAACTGTGATTTTTATTAGAAGCGAGTTTAATTTTTTTTAATACGATGCTCACCGGCCCTTTTTAACAGGCTTCCTGTTAAAGTTACTCCGGTATGCACTATAAGATCTACTAATATTTTTTACGTCATCATGGAAGAGCGACACGTGCAGCAATGCTTCGAATGCCATGCGAGATCCTGGGTTATCCAAAGTGTGGATAACAGAAAATGGCTGCAGCATCATTCCACCAGATGAACAATGCCAAACGAGGTTTCACACCAGGAGAAACTCTGCATAATGCATCAGGCGAAGACCCTGACGAAAGGTCCCCCGTCAGCGTGCCGTAACGTTCAACTTTTTGTCACGCTTAAAGGATCAAGTGTGACTCCAAGAAGTTGGTCCACCGTCTATCCAGATCCCAACCAGTCCCATCCCATCAGTAGATTCGTGCCAGTACCATCGCCTGTAACATCCAACCGAGTCTTCTTCCTCACAATCTCGAATACGGCCGACCACTAACATCATCCGGACTGCTTTGGTTTCTCATCCAGAATTATTTTTCTTTTTATCATCTTCATGGTCGAGAGCCATAAAAAAGTACACGGCTACGACGAACCGTTCGGTAGTTGTATCATTACGATACAATAAATCAGTTCGGCGTTATCCGAAGATAAGGAGACTTATTCAATTTTTGAATATCGTCTGCGTAAACTTTTTTTTTTCAATTCGTTAAATTCAGTCTGACTTTCGTTTGCCGCTCGAAAAATCGTATTTCGAGTTTGTATTAATTTTTATTATGTCATTCCAGGGGATAATCGAGTTTCGGACGTAACGAGTCAGTATGCAAGAAGACTGTTTAGCTAAGGAGACTAAAAAGCTGATGAAACACAAGGAAGATTCTTTTAGGAAGCAAAGAAACGGAGCTTGAGCTCAAGAGGAGCAGGGAGAGAGAAAGATTGCGCCGTTCGTCCTCGGTAGGTAACGGTACCTAGGAAAAAACTTCACTTATTAGACGGAACGTCGGACTCCCACAAAAACAAGCATCGGATTGCCTCACGTAGTGCGCCCGTTCATTTTTTTACCGCGGAATTTTTCAGACTGAATGCAACACAACACGCCTTCCATCTTGCGCTGTGCCCACTGGCTTCTCTACTCGTCCTATACCTCTTGAAATCTCCTTTTATCGGACTCGTTCCCTCTGCCGATTCTCATCATTTTTATTCACTCAATTCCATCTACTCTCTGGATATTTTATTCAGTTTATTCTTACTCTTGATCCACGCTAGAGCCATTCCATCTTTAATCCGTGTCTACGTAGATGTATATATATATATATATATATATAGGTTAGAAGGAGAGATTCGCGGGCACGTGCGCATGCGCGGTTGCAGTCGACAGGAAATAAGAGTGGAATTCGATTTGGACAGGTTACCCATACTCCACCATTTCCTTCCCTTCGATTTTATCCACTAGCACCAAGGACTGGATATCATCCTATTCTACACTTTCTCCAGCATCCGGGACTCAGTCGCCAATTGAATGCACTCGACTATTGACTGCCAGTGCGGACGACTATGGCGGCCATAATCATTCTGCGAAATTGAATAGTCTCACTGTGAAAAGGGTTCTTTTTTACCTTTTTTTTTTTCCTTCTACAAGCAATAGAAAAGATCCTTAGAGATTTACAACATTTTCCATTCACTTCTTCTTCCTCTTCTTCTTCTTCTTCTTAGTAAAGGTACACGTGTATCGCGTGCAGGGCACTGTAAAGAAATTCGTAAAGAATTCTTCGTTCAACTGATAGCCATTTTTTTTGTATTTATATTTTTCTCTAAACGCAGTTTGCATTAATTGACCGGTTTCGTAACGGTGCTAGGTAGAATACTTGAAGTACTTTACTGCTCACCTGAATTAACACCGGCAAAACAAATCTGCGAACTGGTCGCTGGAGATTCACCATTATGAAATTCATTAGCAGCAAGATTCATTAGAAATGCCAGCATCTAAAATATCTAAATTGTGTATAAGGAATTTGTATTTAAATAAAAAGTGATGTTCTTACTGTCTCTATAAAAGAAACAAAGTCAAGAACACGTGTGTCACACGTGCTTCAAATTCATATGAGAATCCAGTATGAAGAAGTATTTTCTTAGCTCCGCAGGTTGTACACCCTGGACTGCACGTGGATCTTCAAGGCGCCACGTAATCCGATCCACTTCGCGGTATGGTAGCGAAGTGGAATCGACTCGTAGACAGAAAACAGTACTGCCTTACGTGTTGCTACATTCACACTGCTATTCCACATATGATAAAGTACTCGCCAGTGAATAACTCATATAGGATTATGAGTTATTCTCATATACAACTTGGACAGAGTACTTTGGATAACAAATTGAGTCTTCTTACAGATGCATATATGAATAATATTTGTACTAAGTATAAAAGAAAAAGAAAAAATTACAGATTTTCAGTGGTATAAGTCAAATTTTTCAAGTGTCAGTAACACCCATACGTGACGTACTAAGTACTTGGATGTCATTGCTCGAATAAATTCGGTGTAAATATTTCAAGACGAACCTTTTGATATTTCAGAGAATACCGAACACTTTCAGAACCGGTAGCACTTAGAAAGATTCATTAGTGTCATTTAAGACGTATAAATCAGAAAGACACGGTAGTAAAGTGTCACTTTCCGTTTTCATAAATGGCGCGTCCATCGTACGGTAACAATTTATTCTTGATTTTTATAGGTTTGCCTCTTCTTTCCTGCAGGAATGATTTGTCACTAGTCAGAATCGTCAAATGAAATGCCAAGTCGTTACGACTCAACGGTCGGGACATTAAGGTACGTTAAATCCTGTAAGAAATACACTAAACTGCATGTAGATGGCGGTAATGTGAAAATTGCAACGAAAAGACAAGACAGCGTGTACGTAAGTACAGTTCTTGGCGATTATAAAAATAACACGGCTATCAGAATCCTTTTCTTCTTCTTCTTCTTCTTCTTCTTCTTCTTCTTCTTCTTCTTCAACTCTCTTCACTGTGTACCATAAATTACCTGCACCGTCCGGTTTTACCGACTGCATATCACGAAACGCATTATCGCGTCACCTTGCACCGATCTTCCAGAGTACCAGGCTTATCCACGATCTTCTTTGCGGACTCCATAGCAGAGTAGGTAAAGCTTGGCGCCAGGTTGGCCGCACTCCTCGAAGCGTGACGTAAATATGCAAGATGCAAGACACATTGCGTTCGCCGTTTGCGAACTAATCCTCGTAGGGCAACGCGACTCTACCGGAACGCATAGGGAAGGATAGGTTAGGATTGACTAACAAACTGATATATGTATATACGTATATATATATAAGTACCTGGAAGGAAAAGTGTTACACATCGTGCAAGTTCACGGCTACCACTTCGCAACCGCTGTATATTCGCCTCCTGGGTAACTCTTGCGTGGCCAATGTCGAGTTCCACTGGTGGCAACCCTGGCACCATGAGACTGAATTACCTAACGCTTCGTCATTGTCGACTGTCTGGGATATGCGTGTAACGGAAATGCATTGCAGAATACATGCGTATTAAGTATGTACACATATTGGGATATATATAACGCATGTGAGTATGTACTGTGTATTATATAGTGCATGATGCGAATACTTGTGTACATGATTTTGCCTTTTTCCTAGAGATTCTAGTGCGTATGAGCCAATAATTATTAATCGTTACGATTTTGGAATTTCCCTTGATCCGTCATTTATGGTATTTCGTGTGATATCAAGAAGCGTCATGATCCTTAGAATTCTTAATTTGCCATACTCAGGGAAAGACCCGTTGTTGAAATATCAAGAAATATAAATGAATCGTTCGTATCTAGGAGGAAACTTTATCGGTACTCTGATAAATCGTAATGACGATAGTGATTGGTTATAGGGATTTCAGACTGACGAAGATCATGTTAAGACAGAAGGAAAATTTGTTGGTGACTAAAAGTGTTCATTGTTGAAATTCAGGGGCTCTTTGGCATTTGCCTTTTCAAGGCGAACGCCGCACCGATGTGAATGGCGTTCGATTTGCATTTCTAATTCTCGACAGGCGACGCTCGAGAGACCGATAATTTATGCTAGTTGTGTGTTATAGGTATTACGGCTAATTTACGTATTACGTGTCTGCGCCCCGAGCCAGGACGATTACCTCGGACTCGACTGGCTGACTGAACTCCTTGCTTGATCTTCCTACCGTTATTGATTATCCTATTATGCTGCTTTTGCTTATACAGAGTGGAAGCTTTGACAACCGCATGTCCGTTCCGTCTCCCTTGGCGGGAGATTCGAATCGAGGATTATTGCAGAGTCATAAAGTAAATAGAGAATTAATACAAGGATCAACTCTACAGCTGGTATAAATGACTCTGAATGATCATCGATACAATGGATGAAAGAGAAACTCATTCATTAGTACAAACGTATATTCTTCGTATCAGGTAAGAAAAAAAAACCAGAGATTAATATACTCTAATACGATTCTCTACATAAATGATTCATGGGGTTACTGTACAAAATTGATTTTAAAAAAATCCTTCACCAACAAAGGAAACGATCAAAATTAATTAATCAACATGATTTCTCTAAACAGGAAGTTTACGTCCATCTTATTCTTCTCCTCGGCATAATACGTAATGTTATACAATAACAAGAACAACGTATAACACACTGAGTGATCTATTGCCATTTATGGCGCCATGACTAATTCGAGTTTGGCAATTGATCCACCATTGTTGTATCTCACTGCCACCTACATTCGGCACAGAATCACAATTTCACAAGGCTCTCATCCGGTATGCAATTCATGGAGTTGTCATATGGTTTCAACAATTCTATGGTAATATATCAATAATAAATTGTAAGTATACTCTTTCGTGAGCAATTCAATGTAATTTTAATGATTCACAATTTTAGAGGCACGATATCGACGAACTGGAAAAATTATCTTAAGGAATTGCCATATCACCCCCACTTCTGACATCACCTCCGTCTCCACCCCCATTCACCTTCTTAAGGTCTACCAAGGGGTTATTACGGATCGGCGAGAAATACGATCCAAGTAAAGGGAATTACAAAGCATTTTTCTCGTGAGAGCGCTCGAGTAGGTACCTACCTACCGAAGCATCCTTGCCAGGATCGACGCGATAGCAATCTCTTCTCCACGGAAGGAAGAGGATACATGGCTCTTTCGATAGCGATCCATCGTTAAACAGTTTCCTGGAAGAATATGAACCACCCACCGAAGAATTTCATGTTGCGATAAGTCTTTGTGATTTTGTTTTTCTACAATCATTTCCTTCCTGGGTGAAACATACCTTTGCGAGTACATAAAAAAGGTCTGTGTATAATGGATGAATATACAACAAATTAATACATTGAAAAAACAGTATGATGTAAGGAATTTGTATGTTTAAGAAAAGTCAGGGTCAAAGTTCAAGGGACGTAATATGAAGGTAGATAATGGTATGGCTAAAGGTCCCTGAGGTCACCCGCCTATCGATTAGGGGATGAACAAATGTGTATAATAATAATAATAATGATAAGGTAACACACGAAAGTTTAAGATCGTGATGCTGGCTTAAGAACTTCCTGTATCTTCTTTCAAGGTCCTCTTTATAATTTTTTTTTTCTTCAGGTCTAACCAAAGAGGAGCACGAACTGGTCCATTCGATGGGAGTTGCACAACTCGGTCATTACACTCTGTTATACGGAGTCTGGGCAATTCTGTCTTCTGACTGTGTATACTGTGTGCACCTAGTTTATAATCTATAGTACATGCAGTGATATACCAAACTGTACTGTTACTGTCTGTTCGTAGCTAAGAAGGTATAGATTGACGAAGTCAGTGGAGAGATAGAAGTTAGAAGGCCGCTTAACAAGCTTGTTATTCTTGTGATTACGTTAACTCGGTGTGATTATGAGTTCCTCATGATGCTAATGAATACTTGATACGGTACGAGCTTCTGTTACTTTTTAAATTTCCCGCGACATTTCATTGATAACGCGTGTTTGAAAATGGATGCTTATTTTTTTTTTATTTATAGGAAAATCAAGTGTCTTTTAATTTGACAGATTGAAATTATTATTCTCTGCTGACAGGACTCGTCAAGGATGTGTCTATCATGGCGTAAAAACAGAACGTACAATAAAACGCCTTGTTACACACCGGAAGACACATTATTACGTACAATATGGTTTTTAATCTACAGTATGAAGGTATACAGTTTTATACATATACTGTGATTGTTATATATACATACAGAGTGCTTGATATATTAAGACTTTACGTCTGCAGGGATATCAAGTCTCCGTAAGAGACAGGTCGAATGGAATTTATCCTTGGAAAATCCAACAGGCAGCTAAATCCTGTGCCAAGTTAGGGAACGATCGAGACTGGGGGTGACAAGTCTGGTACAGGACCTACCGCAAGGAAGGGTGGATAACTGCGTATTGATTTTACAGGATACGAAGGGTTCCTGCAGGAGGTAGAAATACACCCTATATATAACGCTCCATTCGTATCCAGTTCCTGGCGCGAATGGAAACAATTGAATTTAGGGATGACTGTATCTCGTTCTACAATGGTGCGTTGTCTTTAAGGACAGTCTTTTCCATATTTTCGAGTTGAACCATTTTTTACATAAATTTTATATTATTTAACTGGTAAAAAAATGGTTGCGCAATTCCTTGTACAATTGCAAAAAGCGGCCAATCGGAAGACTGCACTTTAGTCGGAATGAGATGGCTCTGTTAAGGGGTCACCCCCCTGGAAAATCAAATGTTAAGCGGGCAGGTATCCGAGGGTGAAAATTCCGTGAAATGTAAACTCTAGGGAGTTCTGTATATAGATATATAGACGTGCATACTGTAAAGCACTGTACACTATAGTGCATAATGTGTATAGTGATGCATCTCACCGTTCGGTGCATCGCGCGTTGACGCTGTCGGGCGTGTGAGTGACTCCTTGAAGTGGAGCCACTTCACGTCAAAGGGCTCTATAATAATCTGACTCTCGCCCTCCCCACTTCAGCCCTAAGCATTCCGGCTCACAAAGACAAATCAATTTCTCAAGAGTGAGGAGGAAGGTGCAAGCGACAGAAACCGATAGAGTAAAAGGAAGGGAGAGAGCGAGATGAATCTAAGAGGATTGATAGAGAGAGAAAGAGAGAGACAGGATTCAAGATGGAGAAGATCCTGACACCAAACAGCCTGTTCTGGCAGGTTATTTTATTTCAAGGACCGAGACCTTCTATAAGGATTTTATAGGGTTCAATCTTTTTCATATAGCTATCTTTTACTTTCCAAGGGTATCATCACGCATGTTCGATTTAGATAAAAATGGCTAAAATTCGAATTTTTAAAATTTTCCCTGTCAATTGAAGTCGTCATTATTTTTGTGTACCATAAAGTGATTTTGACTTGATTTTTTGGAAAATTATTAATTAATCTACAATATTGTCATAGTAGAGACGATCGAGCTCGGATAATTTTAATATAAACAGAGAGTTTAATGGCAGATTTTTAATGGGGCTTGTTTTATATATATTTTTTACTGTCACTCGTATAAGGATTCGCTACTGAAGTTGCACGTGCACTGAAAACGTGCGGCTGCCTACGTGGAATACATTTAGGAGGTTGTGCCTAATAAATTATCCAGTCATCCATCTCGTAGATATTCTCGGCTGGTTCGCATTCATCCCTTAACATTACTGGGGAGTAGGTGCCTACACCCGACGTACGAAAAGTCTCCCACTGCTCAATGTGGATTCTAGGATGAATACACGGATATGACGTCACCGTATGTTGGACACATGTGCCACCCTTGGCCACCCACGCGTGCACCTATTGTAGACCCTTCCAATACGGATTAATAGAAATCAATCAGCCCTTGGGACAGCTGACCCTGAATTGGGGTAGACGGATTAAGGATTCCAGAGGGTGGCTGGGGTACGGTGGGGAGGGGGGGGGA